TCCAAGGGGTCGTTAAATTCTGCTAAATATGAATATCGATGTGCCGCTTATTTCACGCACGTGTATTTCGATACTTGATAGTGTACCTATTGTACCCAAAATGTGCGACCGTGGTTTGATGACATCGATCTCGGAACTGGAACTTGCAGCTCTAGCGCGGTTGTGACGAAAGGTTAGCAAGTGACATAATATGCTTTGAATAACCGAGTGCAGAATCGGTAGCTTTCTTATACTTTGTTACCTGTACGGCCGGCATATGTTTGTTCGTGCATGAGTATCCTAGCAACCGCCAACAGCGGTGTTAGAAATAGTGCTGAGCAAAGTGGCCCAGCTATCGATGTTCTGGAAAAAATGTTTTGTCTTACCAAATATCTGAGTTGATGAGGAATAGATTTATAATATCATTTTATACATACATTAATATTTACTGTAGCTCAACAGCTAGCTTTCAAGAACAACGAGAAACAGGGTTTGGAGCAGGAAAGCTGAGGCCACTAAAGCCTACATTGTCGATCATATATTGGATGAAAGCGATGGAAATGCAGCAAAACTTCCCCAAATATTTTGCTTTTGCTTCTTTCCTTTGTCTCTATGCATTCTTTTTTGTAAGCAGTTTAGACGTCAACAGAGCCGTCCAGTGGTCATAAGGTCGCCACGTGATCCAGGGCCTTAAGATCGCATTTCGTTGAGGGCCTCGACTTTTCGGGCCGCGGACGAATCGCAGCTGAGCCAACGATCTTATGCCTGGCCCCCTTCTCTTTCTCACACTTCCACCTCTGCCATAAAGACGTGAATCCCTACAAAATAGCTCGTCATGCTGATGAAAATCCCGCGGAATGCAGTCCCCCTCGAAGGATTTTGGACGATGCAATATATTTGATCTCATATCCAATTTCTGACTCGCTTTCGGCACTCAGTCCTCAGATACCAAATTAAAACACAAAGGCATAGGAACCTAAATGTACTCTTATAAATGTACCTAAGGCACCCACATAAGCAGAGAATGAGCATGTAATGCAACAGTTGAGGGAATGCACATTTAGACCCAGACCTAGACTCGATTGCATTCATTTCGTACATTCAAACCTCATGTTCGCCGTACCCCAGGTCGGTCAATCCTGTGCTCAATGCTTTCCTCAACAAATTCGGCAAAACTAGAGCTCTGATGGGGATCTATGACCACTAAACATTATTAGTACTTACACACGCTCCTAAATATCCGTTCTGAAAGTAACGGGACCTAAACCACGTTAATTATACAGGTGCCTAGATTGCTAGTTTATTCCATGTCGTAACTTGTATAAAGAACGGCGTAAAACCGGAATCCCGAATGATCCCACGAGAATACCCAATGCACGGGATCCGAATTGGAGCAGACAAGTCTCGCGGTACGTCAACTGTCACCTCCCATCATTTCTTGGAACCCCGTCGGCTGTACTCTTTTAATGACATGGCCTTTAAATGAGATGGTGTACTGTACCGGACGCCATTGACTTCTTATGGCAATGGTACAGTGGTCCTCGTACAATAATCCCGGCTAAACACTCGAAGACCTACAAATCGTGGACGGTGATATGAACGAGATCATCAGCCTCAGTATGCCATGCAAGTGTATTCAGATCGACAGAACACACCTTAGCAGACAGGAAACGACGACAGTTTAGGCACATTCCGCCTAAACTAGACATAATACATTCCGTCCAAAGGGCTTCTCACAAACACAGTAAAACAACATTCACAAGCCGTCCACGTGATTTATGCAGCCAAAAAGGAGACTGCACCAAGCACAGCGTACAGTTTCCCGTCCGCAGGGAAACACATCGTCGTAATAAAACCATCAAATACACCATCACATACCATCGTCACACATCATCGTCTCAAGCCACCCCCGCTTACATACCCACAACGAAGACGAAGACCACTCAAGGTTAAATCGGACTCCTTCCCAGCCCTACGCACAACAGCAGCCTGAGCCGGCCGGCACCCGGTACGGGCATGCAGGGAGCGGCTGGGCACCCCAAGATAAACATTGTAGGTTCCTGTGTGTACCACCTCTATTCTTCAACACACGCACACACCACATATCTCGCACACCTACCCAAGCACATTTAGATTTCAATGCGTGCCATCACCTCAAACTCTGTATTTGAAACGACTAGAAAGGTCTCAGATAGTAAAGCCTCACTAAGCCTAAGCTTGTAGCTATAGGCATTTACTGAAAGGGCGGGATATTTCCAGGACAAGGCATCTGATGAACATGCAATGATCATAACACTGAAATGAGAGAAAACAGCCTGAATGGGAACATTTCTATGGTGCGTCGTCTGTTTAACTACCCAACTTGCCCTTCCATGACCTCAACTTGACATGACATGTTCTGCGACCCAGCGCTCGATTTTGCTCGACGCAGTCCCGCAGACTGTGCGGCGCTGCGGCACGACGCTGTCCCAGATACCGCTGGTACGGGTGATTATTCCTTCCGGTCTTCGGAGGACGACCAGCGAGCACACGCTACCGTCCACGAAGTGGACAGGCTTTCCGCCTCTCCGGCCAGGGGACAGGGATGTGGCGGCAACACTTCTCCGCTAACCTAGTTGACCCTGCGCATAGAGCTGGCTCTGACAGGGGGGGGGGGGGGGGGCGACGGAGGACGTGGCGGTGCACCAGTCGGTCATGAATGCCGACAGCACCATGTGCCATGTCGGGTCATGCTTAGGGTGATCGTCCAGACCTTGTAGAATGGACTTCTGCATCTTGCTTAGGAGATCTGACATGGTGCTGTGCGCACCGGCCGTTGGGTTAACCACAGGTGGTGGGGAGTGGGAGGGGGGGGGGGGGGGGGAGGGGGGACGCCGCGGACCACGGCGGGCGCCGACAGGTCAAACGATCTGACGTGACGGGAATCCACAAAGTCATCGCCATCGATGTCGTCATCGACTCGGTCCGTTGGGTTCTCCGTGAAGGGCTGAAGGGCTGGCGTCTCGGCGGCCTTCCTGGACGGTCCTGCCGTCGGCTCTATGGCGAAGCTGGCCTCCGCCCTCAGGGTGGCAAACCATCCAGATGGTGTATCACGTCGTCCTGCCAAGAAAGAACAGTCCAATGATCCTTTGAAAATCGGCTGACGTCATTGGAAGAACGTAATATGCGTCCTCCCAAAATTATGTGCAACCTTCAGAGATGACTGACTTCATCATGGCTGACTCGGTGTCTGACCAACTATTTCAGCATGATCCTGTATGAAAGCTTTGTCATTTTTTAAATTCCAATGCCCTGAAAACATTTAAGTCTCCCATGGTTTCTCAACATGATTTGACTTATCACAAATACCCACTGCAAGTATTCTTCACAAAATGTAGTGCAGCTTATGTGAGGCACACGGACGGCGGAACAACGACCAGAGTGCTGATGTCCTGTAGCAAACCACCTTGAAACCTCACATCTTGCACAGAACTTCAAAACCTCTCATCCTAGTTGTCAGACTTTGGGCAACCCTTTCCAAGCACAGGGTATCCAATGCTAGGATGCAGTAGCAAGATGTACTACTATACTAATGCTCCTGGGACATGTATTTCTAACCCCATGCTTGGTTGTGGTCATCAATATCTTTTGGCTTAGCCATCTGTATCTCCTGCAGCTATAACCTTTAGTACCAGGCATCAGGCATTAGAATGTGGGAGCTGGAATGATTGTTTATTTTTGGTGTCTATTGTCAGGGTCTGAACAGATTTGGAAAATTTCCTCTTTTACTGCCTACAGGTCAATGGTTACATCTAAGTTGTAAATAGGCATGTGATACCACCAGTATTCCTTTGAAAGCATGCTAAAAGCATGCTGGAGCCATGAGCATGTTAAACTTGAGTTTTTGTGAACCAAAGCCAGAACACTATTTCATAGCAGTCAGTGATATTTGATTATTCAGGCACACAGATCCAAATTATGAAATATAGATGCCATTACTGCTTGTGCTCATTTAAAATGATCAGCAAAAATTCAATGCACTATGCTTCTTGAAAAATATAGATGTTGGAAAATAGTCCTGCTATGTTCTATCTTATTGCACATGTATTCAGCTAGTTATTTCTGAGAGGAAATCATTTAAATGTGACAGATGATAACATCAATATAAACCCAGATTGCACAGAACACACATCACATTTGACATGTCTGGGATAAGGGTGAATTATGTACAGCAAAGCAGTGACATCATGGAAACAATTTAAGCACATACCCTCTAAATCCAAGAGCTCATAGTTTAGCACACAGGTACCACCAACTCCAATGGTAAGAGAGCTAATGTTTCAAGGAATCATGACATCACCAAGATAGCTTCAGGTAGACAAATGCTGAAAAATATCTTTAAACACTAATAATTTGAAAATTCAGTGTGATTTGGCCTGGCTAGAATTTCACATTTCAATGTGAAGACCCAAGCATGGATCTCTTGTAGGTGTCCAGTGACACAGATTATCATTTTCTGACTGGATGCAGACATTTTGTGTTATGATGGCTTCAAATAGTAAACCTATGCACCACTTCTTATCACCATACACTTTGTACTTTGTCAATTTGCACACTTCTTTGCTAAATTCACTAGTAGATTATTAAAATAGCCAACTTTTCGTCAAAACAGCAGTATGTCAAGAGAAGAAAAAGGAATGCCACTGTATATTACATTATAATGTACCATATAGTTTAAGGAAAATTGCTGGGTAAGCACTTAGAATTCCGGGCGGTTACAAACATGGCCAATACAAATGTTATGACACACAATAACTGTTTAAAACCAGACCCCATCTACCTGATTACAACCAAAACTTACCTCTGTGAGCATGATCAGACTGCAAGGCCTGTCCCACGCAGGGATGATCAGTCAATAGCAGCATAACTAACTCCAAAGAAACTAAATATTCTCGAGGATGTGTTGTCGATCCAAAGAACACCGATCCTGATCGTTGCAACACCATTTTCAGTGACGTCACAATGCCAGCTGGTGCCTCCCGACACTTCCCCAGCACAACGGTACACGAAACCCTGCAACCAGCGCAGCCCTTCCCTCCGTCGGCCGTACAGGTACCAAAGTAGAAAAGTCGGATGGGTATGGGTCGTGCTCGATTAGTTTTAGACGGTAGGGTTCCCTGTAGTATGGAATTTTCCTTATGTGCATGTCTGCGCTCAAAGAAAAAAGGTTGACGCGCTGTAAAACATCCAGTGTGCTAATGGTGGACTAGGGTGCAAAATGTTTACTGCATTGGCCCGCTTACCGCTCAAATCCACTACTGTGCACCTGCCTGTTGAACGTTGATTCTGCTGGTTTTGGGCCATTTTATGTGATGTGTCAGTTGTATGTTAGCAATGTATTACTTTGTGTTAAAGGGATGTTGCATGCATAGTGTGTGCAAGCCCATATGCCTTTTGTGATAGCACTTAACCACTCAGTGGTTGTTTGTTTGATATCTTATTAGTTACTAGTTCCTTTGTTGATTTGATGGCCTTCATGTTGAGTTTGGTCCCCTTTTCTACTTTTCATATCAGTATAAAATAAACAAAATATCAGCAGTCACCAATGTACAGGATGTTTTGCAAGCAGTGATGCACAATCTCATAGACATTAGTTTGTTTTTTATGGCACTGCATCATGCAGTGTCTGCAGTTTTAACAAAGTTTTGTCAGATTTTACACTCCTAATGGAATAGTCATGAGCACAACTCATTTGTTGTATTTGAGTACCTTGTAATGATATACTTCAATTGAAACTCAGTTCTGCTTAATTTGCAGCATAACATGTGCATTGCTCTGTTTTCAGATACCATGGCTCAGCCCAGATTTGCTAAGCATGCTCTTAACTTTAATGTTTTAGCAGAATGCTCCAAGAGCAAAGCCAGGATTAGCCGACTGGAGCTTCCTCACCACACTGTGGATACACCTGTCTTCATGCCTGTTGGAACACAGGTCTGTATGTGCTACTGGCATCACCAATGTCTTTGCCTTCTGAGTTTTGTTTTACAAACATGTTCATGAGTGCAGAGAAAGACCTGTATTTGGGACCAGGTATTTGGCCAGTCTTGGTGAGTAAGCCCACTGGGATTACCCGTGCTGGTGAGAAGCTAACTAAGAAAACTATATATGATACACTGGATAGTGCCCATTTTGTGTTCATGTACAGATATACATTTATATTTGTAGCCATTGTAAGTGAAATATAGTCCAAAATATACCAGAAAATAAAATTATCTTTGCTGTGGGAAGTCATTAGAATGAAGGATTAGGCCACTAAACATTGGCAGTTGCTGCTCATTTCACAGTGCTTCATGCATCCTTATCTGATCTCATAGCAGTCATGAGCATTTTCTCACTTTTCAGGATTCTACACTACAGAGATATTGAGGGCCTTAGGATTGACCAAAAGCTGAGAGTAACAAGGGTCAAATTTGTAGTCATGTGGCCAACTTGTTTTACTGGAGGATATTAATCTTTCCTTCAGAGTCCATTAGTAAAAAATATGCATGAATCATATTGTGAGCATGTGCGCTCGCTATGCCTACAACCAACCAACATCCGGCGCTCAAATCTCCATAGACATTGGGGGCCGGTCTCACAGCTCGTACCAGGCTGCAGTCAGGTGAAAGTGTCTGCATATTGGAAAGTGGGCTTTCAAGCACTGTGAAATCAATTTGTACATGTGGATGGCAAGCTGGACTGTAGATTCCACCCAAACAATTTTCAGATGGCATCTTTGTTGTTGGTATAGCTGGAACTGCTAATTTGTTCAGGGAGTCAACCTCAGAAGTACACAAGTGAAATATATAGCCCATAGCCCAAACATATATATATAGTCTAACCTATAATTGGTACCATATTAGTTTTGAAAGGTTTTCAGAAGCATTTTTCGCTCAACAAACAGTAGTTTTCCCGCGTCCGCCGCCTCCCGCTGAGTGGTTGCGGCGGCCAATGCTCCTCCATTCAACAAAAACTTTTATCTCCCTGCTCCTTAAAAGGAAGTCCCTCACCAGTTCCCGACAGGAAGAGGGGGGGGGGGGAGGTCATTGGTAGGATGCCAGGGAGCACATTACCTTTCTCAGTGAGGGACTGACGGGCCCGTCCGTCCCTGTCCGCCATACCTGCTTGCTGTCATGGTAGCGTCATGATGGCTGGGGCCCCTAGCCGATCCGGATGCCCTCAGAGGGATACATCATACACCAGCTCCCTCCCTGGTGGAGGGGACTCTTTCGGCAGGGCATTTAGCTTCCTGTCAACGAAGTTCCCTTGCTGACGCAAAAAGTTTCATCGCCTGTGTGAAGGTTCCTATCATTGCTACAGGAACCCCAGCTCGATTTATTGGGACTCTTGGCTGAAACGGGGCAGAGGGCACACTGCTCGGTATTAGGGCCCCTGACTGAGGCTGCGCCCCTCCATTGCCTCATTGAGAACCCATCCAATGTAATTTCTCATATTCCCTTTTATTGTCAAAGGGCCCGACTAACACAGCCCATGCAACATTCAGGGGCTCCGTCCCTGTCCCCGTTCAGAAAACGTGCTTCTGATCGACTCGGGGCCCTTAGTCGATATCGCATCCCCTGTTACGCCCAGGCCCCTCATGACACAGGGCATCTGCCAGTGTTCCATGGGGCCGACCAATACAAGACGCCTTTGGTGACAATGGCGGGCCGTGGTCTTGTCCATGCGTGGGAATTGGGACCCCCAAGGGCCGAGACGGACACGGAGTCGATTGTTTGGTATTGGTGATCTCTGACCGAGGTAAAGGCTTCTCTCATCGTCCAAGGAGCTGTCGGATGGGTGCACGAGGCCCTCTAACTGACGTAAGAGCATCTGACACTGTGAGACAGAATGTATTTTCGCTACCTACAGCAGGCCTTCTGAGTCCTCCATTCGGGCCCCTTATCATCTACCCGGAGGAACCATTGGAGCCCTTTGGTACCTAAAGGGAGGAGGGGGGGGGGGGGGGGGCACATGTTACCCCTGCCATGTTCATTGTATGGGAGTTTCTGCTTGGAATCCCACACAATCTTTTCTTTGTACAAAGACCTGCAATGACAGGTGTTGTTAATGCACTTGCACTTCTTAATTGCTGCTGCCGACTGCAAACAGCATGATGATTCTGCATGGGATTTTGCCCTTTAGTCAGCAATGTGTATCTGATTTATTGTCTATGAGTACTGCAATTTCGGTTATTCGCTCTGTTTGTGGATGTTATTCCGGGTTATTCTTGTTGACTATTGACGCCTTACTTATGCTGCAATCATGGTCTAAAGCCTAAATGGGCATGTAATAACCATTGCAATCAGTGTGCCTTAAAACATCAATAAACATTAACAAAACAACAAACTCTTAAACCCCAAAGCCACAAAAAGCCAAAGGTACTTACTTTATTGGATGCATAATGACCTGTGACATTGTATTTCACCCACCCATCATTTCACTGCTTGCAAATTTAAGCCAAATAATGGACATAATGTTGTCACATATGGCCATGATGCACAGTGCATAGCACAATGCCATTGTAATGTATGGCAACCTCAATGCAGAAACGTGCCTGAATTCCGAGGATGGAGCATTAAGTCCTATTGTGACTGTATTGGTGTAACCCGGCTCCTAGGCTCATCAGCACTCATATAATCCACCGAAATGTGTATTATTAGGACGCGTCTTCCCGAAGTCTTCCAGAGAGTTACGTCATGCCTACATTGGTGCATGGAAAACCCACCTTTGAAAACTGGGTGGGCTGTCTCCTGACTACTACTGACATGTGACAGCCGTTATGTGCTCATGTATGACCCATGTGTGTTTGTTGACATTGCGCTGTAGCAAGACCTCTGTTTTCCACAGGGCACACTAAAAGGCCTGATTCCAGAGCAGCTGTCAGACCTGGATTGCCAAATTATGCTGGGCAACACATACCACCTGGGCACCAGACCAGTGAGTGCTCGATTCTGTTTTGGGGCATCAGCTAGTGCTATAACATGCTTTCCAATGGTGGGGCAAGGCTGAGATTCGACCCCACAAAGGAAAGGAATAGACAAAATATGCTGCGGGAATGGCCTTGTGATACTCCTTGCAAAGCATGGTGTGTTACAAAAGCCTGGCATCAACATTACAGTAGAATGGTTCAATCAACTGCAAAGCTTTTTGGCATTTTGGTGTGGAAGGACTTGAGAATTTCAAGTTGTTGTGATATGGATGTGTCATGAAGCCACTGGGACATTGTTTATTGCATAAATGTTGGCGTTCTGTACGTTGCAAACCGTGCAGCGAAAAGTGTATGATCATATGCATTGTCGTGATCATTCCAACTGGTTTTTAGGGGCCAGAGATCTTGAAAAAGATGGGTGGTCTTCATGGCTTCATGGGTTGGCCTCGGGCCCTTCTGACCGACTCGGGCGGCTTCCAAATGGTGTCTCTTCTGGAGCTGGCGGAGATCACGGAGGAGGGTGTCAAGTTCCGGTCGCCGTATGACGGTAGGTGTAAGACAGCTGTTTGTCAGTGGACGAAGGCACAGAAAACGTTCAATGCAACATTTCGCCGGACTGAGGCAGTTGCTCGTTGTTCGCAGGCTGCCACTACCACCCAATGCAGTGTTGCGATTCTTCGCAAACAAAGGCGCATTGTGCGAAGGCCTCTTCAGTGCTCACCCCGCTTCTGTCCGGGCGCGTTTGATCACAACGCCCGTCTCGCCACTGCCTTGCGCGGCCCCCGCTCCCGTCGGCGGCAGACCCGGGGCAGCGCACGTGGAGAGCGTCGCGCTGTGTATCCTCACGACCTGCTGTGCGGTCTGCTGGCAGGCTCGGAGTGCATGCTGACGCCCGAGCACTCGATGGCGATCCAGAACGCCATCGGCGCCGACATCATGATGCAGCTGGATGACGTGGTGCACTCGGCCACCGTCGGCCCCCGGGTGGAGGAAGCCATGCACAGGTACCGGACGGGTCCCACCGAACCGCAGCCATGCCTCTGCGGGCAGGCCCGGATTGTAGAAGTCGTGGTGCGCGCGGCCTTGTCAGTGGGAAGGCGTATTAGCCGACGCCATGTTTTCATTGCTGTACGGGGATCTGACCGCAGCGATGACGTGTGTCCATGGCAATCAGGATGCGAACGTGCCGGCGGTTATGATAGTCGCTTGTCGTCATGTGTTTCATCTCCAACCGCTGGCTCCATACCGCGCGGACCAATAAACACCAACAGGAGCAGAGCATAGAGCCGTGCCGAGCCGCCGGCACTCCGTACCATCTCGTCTCGTGCCGGTGCGTCGTCGTCACTGGCGGCCACCGGTCGGCAGGACCACGCGCTGGCTGGACCGGTGCCTCGCGGCGCACGGCCGGCCGCGCCAGCAGAACCTGTTTCCGATCGTGCAGGGCGGCCTGGACCCGGCGCTGCGGCGCCAGAGTGTTGGCCAGCTGACGCAGCGCGACGTGGCTGGCTTCGCCATTGGCGGTCTCAGGTGGGCCGGTGTGTGCGCTGCCGACGTGGTGTTGGGTCAGTGTGGTGTGGGGACGTCAGGCTGGTCTGGTGTGGGGACGTCAGGTAGGTCTGGTGTGGTGACGTCAGGCAGGTCTGGTGTGGTGACGTCAGGTAGGTCTGGTGTGGTGACATCAGGCTGGTCTGGTGTGGTGACGTCAGGCAGGTCTGGTGTGGGGACGTCAGGCAGGTATGGTGTGGTGACATCAGGCAGGTCTGGTGTGTTGACGTCAGGCAGGTCTGGTGTGGGGACGTCAGGCAGGTCTGGTGTGGTGACATCAGGCAGGTCTGGTGTGGTGACGTCAGGCAGGTCTGGTGTGGTGACATCAGGCAGGTCTGGTGTGGTGACATCAGGCAGGTCTGGTGTGGTGACGTCAGGCAGGTCTGGTGTGGTGACATCAGGCAGGTCTGGTGTGGTGACGTTAGGCAGGTGTGGTGTGGTGATGTCAGGCAGGTCTGGTGTGGTGACATCAGGCAGGTCTGGTGTGGTGACATCAGGCAGGCCTGGTGTGGGGACGTCAGGCAGGTCTGGTGTGGTGACATCAGGCAGGTCTGGTGTGGTGACGTCAGGCAGGTCTGGTGTGGTGACGTCAGGCAGGTCTGGTGTGGTGACATCAGGCAGGTCTGGTGTGGTGACGTCAGGTAGGTCTGGTGTGGGGACGTCAGGCAGGTCTGGTGTGGTGACGTCAGGCAGGTCTGGTGTGGTGACGTCAGGCAGGTCTGGTGTGGTGACGTCAGGCAGGTCTGGTGTGGTGACGTCAGGTAGGTCTGGTGTGGTGACGTCAGGCAGGTCTGGTGTGGTGACGTCAGGTAGGTCTGGTGTGGTGACGTCAGGCTGGTATGGTGTGGTGACGTCAGGCAGGTCTGGTGTGGTGACGTCAGGTAGGTCTGGTGTGGTGACGTCAGGCAGGTCTGGTGTGGTGACGTCAGACAGGTCTGGTGTGGGGACGTCAGGCAGGTCTGGTGTGGTGACGTCAGGCAGGTCTGGTATGGTGGCGTCAGGTAGGTCTGGTGTGGGGACGTCAGGCAGGTCTGGTGTGGTGACGTGAGGTAGGTCTGGTGTGGGGACGTCAGGCAGGTCTGGTGTGGTGACGTCAGGTAGGTCTGGTGTGGTGACGTCAGGTAGGTCTGGTGTGGTGACGTCAGGTAGGTCTGGTGTGGTGACGTCAGGCAGGTCTGGTGTGGTGACGTCAGGTTGGTATGGTGTGGTGACGTCAGGTTGGTATGGTGTGGTGACGTCAGGTAGGTCTGGTGTGGTGACGTCAGGTTGTTATGGTGTGGTGACGTCAGGTTGGTATGGTGTGGTGACGTCAGGCAGGTCTGGTGTGGTGACGTCAGGTTGGTATGGTGTGGTGACGTCAGGTTGGTATGGTGTGGTGACGTCAGGCAGGTCTGGTGTGGTGACGTCAGGTTGGTATGGTGTGGTGACGTCAGGTAGGTCTGGTGTGGTGACGTCAGGTTGGTATGGTGTGGTGACATCAGGCAGGTCTGGTGTGGTGGCGTCAGGTTGGTCTAGTGTGGTAACGTCAGATTGGTCTGGTGTGGGCACATCGGGTTGATCTGGTGTGATGGCATTGGGTTGGTCTGGTATGCTGATGTCAGGTTGGTCTAGTGTGGTGACATCATATTGGTCTGGTGTGGTGACATCAGGCTGGTCTGGTGTGGTGACATCAGGCTGGTCTTGTGTGGTGACATCAGTCTGGTCTGGTGTGGTGATGTCAGGCTGGTCTTGTGTGGTGACATCAGGCTGGTCTAGTGTGGTGACATCAAGTCTGTCAGGTGTGTTCAGCACATGTCAGTCTGGTGCAGTGATCTGAAATTGGTCTGGCCTTGTGACCCAGGCCAGGCTGGGGCAACGACCCAGGTTGGTGGAGTGTGGGTACCTCAGGGTAGTCAGATGTGGTGACATGAGGTCAGTTGTGACCCTAGGCCAGTCTGCTGCAGTGATCTCATATTGGCTAAATATGGGGGACCTCAGGCTAGTTGAGGCTTGGTGAGCCAAGATCAGCCTGGTGTGATGACCTTCAGTCGTTCCGGCCGGATGGTCTCAGGCCAGTAGTGTGGTGGTTTCAGATCAGCCCAGTGTGGTTACCTTCAATTGATTTAGTGCAGCGACCCTGGTCCAGCCTCGTAAGGTGAGCTGAGGTCGGTTCACAGCAGGCGCCGTCGGCTGTGGGCTCCTATGCCGCAGCCATGGTGTGCTCGTCTGGTCTGGTGAGCGCCGCTGTCGGCGCCGGGTCCATGTTCACGTTCGGGGTGCTGGTGGGGCGACTGGTTTGGGAGGCAGTCAGCTGTATGGCGTCGGTACCCATGTTTGAGGGGCGAGGTTGGCTCGGAGGAGCGGAGTGTCTGGGGCGTGTCTGCTGTCGGCGCCGGGTCCATGTTCACGTTCGGCGTGCTGGTGGGGCGGCTGGTTTGGGAGGCGGTCAGCTGTATGGCCTCGGTACCCATGTTTGAGGGACGAGGTTGGCTCGGAGGAGCCCAGTGTCTGGGACGTGAGGTCAGCCCGAGTCACCCGTATCCGAGGGCTGGTCTTTGTGCCGCGATGTCCATGTCCGAGCCGTGGGGTTGAACTCGAGGTGCTCGTGTATGAGGCCCGATTTCGGTATGAGGCCCGAGAGGAGGCTCCAGAGGTGCTCTAATGTGGTGTGATGATGGCCAAGGGCGGGACTAGGGGGACTGGCTGGCTGTCATAGCGAGAGGTGCTTGTGACCCTTAGCCTACTGAACATCAAGTGTGGACCGCGAGGTGTTCGTCGTTCCCCTTTTGATTTAAGCGTCCTGCCTGGCTCCTGCCCCCCCCCCCCCCCCATTCGCGCTTCAATGGCATTCCCCTTTTGACTTTAGCGCCCTCCATTCGTGCCTTACCGTCGTTTCCCTTTGACTTAAGCGGGCCCCCACCGCTCACTGCCCTCAGCTTGTCACAGAGACTGTCGGGCCGTCCCTTCAGTGGAGTCGCCGCCAGGTATGACTCTGTCTCGGTAATACTGAGCCGCCGTCCGGCCGGCTCTGGTCACCAGCCCCCTCCCTCCGGCTGGCTCCGGTCACCAGCGCCCTCCCTCCGGCTGGCTCCGGTCACCAGCGCCCTCCCTCCGGCTGGCTCCGGTCACCAGCGCCCTCCCTCCGGCTGGCTCCGGTCACCAGCGCCCTCCCTCCGGCTGGCTCCGGTCACCAGCCCCCTCCCTCCGGCTGGCTCCGGTCACCAGCGCCCTCCCTCCGGCTGGCTCCGGTCACCAGCGCCCTCCCTCCGGCTGGCTCCAGTCACCAGCCCCCTCCCTCCGGCTGGCTCCGGTCACCAGCGCCCTCCCTCCGGCCGGCTCTGGTCACCAGCCCCCTCCCTCCGGCTGGCTCCGGTCACCAGCGCCCTCCCTCCGGCTGGCTCCGGTCACCAGCGCCCTCCCTCCGGCCGGCTCTGGTCACCAGCCCCCTCCCTCCGGCTGGCTCTGGTCACCAGCGCCCTCCCTCCGGCCGGCTCCGGTCACCAGCGCCCTCCCTCCGGCCGGCTCTGGTCACCAGCCCCCTCCCTCCGGCTGGCTCCGGTCACCAGCCCCCTCCCTCCGGCTGGCTCCGGTCACCAGCGCCCTCCCTCCGGCCGGCTCTGGTCACCAGCCCCCTCCCTCCGGCTGGCTCCGGTCACCAGCCCCCTCCCTCCGGCTGGCTCCGGTCACCAGCCCCCTCCCTCCGGCTGGCTCCGGTCACCAGCCCCTTCCCTCCGGCCGGCTCCGGTCACCAGCGCCCTCCCTCCGGCCGGCTCTGGTCACCAGCCCCCTCCCTCCGGCTGGCTCCGGTCACCAGCCCCCTCCCTCCGGCCGGCTCTGGTCACCAGCCCCCTCCCTCCGGCTGGCTCCGGTCACCAGCCCCTTCCCTCCGGCCGGCTCCGGTCACCAGCGCCCTCCCTCCGGCCGGCTCTGGTCACCAGCCCCCTCCCTCCGGCTGGCTCCGGTCACCAGCCCCTTCCCTCCGGCCGGCTCCGGTCACCAGCCCCCTCTCTCGGGACAGCTCCGGTCACCAGCCCCCTCTCTCGGGCCAGCTCCGGTCACCAGCCCCCTCTCTCGGGCCAGCTCCAGTCACCAGCCCCCTCTCTCGGGCCAGCTCCGGTCACCAGCCCCCTCTCATGGGCCAGCTCCAGTCACTAGCCCCCTCTCTCGGGCCAGCTCCGGTCACCAGCCCCTCTCATGGGTCAGCTCCGGTCACCAGCTCCCTCTCACGGGCCAGCTCCGGTCACCAGCCCCCTCTCTCGGGCCAGCTCCGGTCACCAGCCCCCTCTCTCGGGCCAGCTCTGGTCACCAGCCCCCACTCATGGGCCGGCTCCGGTCACCAACCCCTCTCGGGCCAGCTCCGGTCACCAGCCCCCCTCTCTGGTCAGCTCCGGTCGCCAGCCCCCTCTTGGGCCTCACCAGCCCCCTCTCTCGGGCCAGCTCCGGTCACCAGCCCCCACTCATGGGCCAGCTCGGGTCACCAGCCCCCTCTCGGGCCAGCTCCGGTCACTGGCCCCCTCTCGGGCCAGCTCGGGTCACCAGCCCCCTCTCGGGCCAGCTCCGGTCACCAACCCCCTCTCTCGGGCCAGCTCCGGTCGCCAGTCCCCGCCCTCTAGCCGGCTCCGGTCACCAGCTGTCTCCCTCCGTCCGACAGTGGCGGCGAGTCCAAGGCGCAGTTCTGGCGGATGGTGACGCTGTCGACGGACGGCCTGCCGCGCGACAAGCCGCGCTACCTGATGGGCGTCGGCGTTGCCACCGACCTGGTGGTCTGCTGCGCGCTCGGCTGCGACATGTTCGACTGCGTGTACCCCACCCGGACAGCGGTCAGTGGGCGCTCGCGGCCGCGCCGTGGGGCGGGGCGGGGCTTGGAGTGAACCGTGTTTTCGTGTGCGGGCACGCAGAGATTGATGACTCCATGGCAGAGGCAGTGAAAGTGGAAGAATTTCTAGCTTGCTGTAAAATGGGGTGTGGTGAGACAGGTGGGTGAAGTGAGACACAAAACGTATACCTTTTTCGAAGCAAGGCTATTGGTTTGTTACTCGGTTCAAATGTGTTATCAACAATTCAAATGTGAATGTGTATTTAACGTTTTGTATGTAAATGAAAGAAACTGAATCTTGAAAAATGCAACAATGAAAGGCGCGTGGAACTTCTCTCTGTACGGCAGGATAGTATGTATGTAATTTGGTATGTACGAGCTGCCGCCAGAGACATCAGAAGTCCGGAGAGGCTTCTCCTGACCTTCTCCTCCTCCAGAAAAAGATCGTGAAAATAAGTGATCAGCCCAGACCGCCATGGCGCTACCTAGACTGTTCCCTTCAATATTTTAGCTGTGCGGCATTACTGATGAAAGGAAGGGGTGTTTCGTTCCAAGATGCTCATGTGAAGAGACTGCCTGAAATCGTTCACATTGCAGCGATATGATATTTCAATAAATGCTGTTGTTTTCAATGCTGCTTGCGAAAGCCGCGTTTTGTTCCATTTTGCTTCGATTCCGCTGATGGTCCGCTAAAAGCTATTGCAGAGTTCTTGATGGAACAAGTTCCAAACGCTGCTGTGGCTTTTAGTTTTCACCGCGATATCTGCGTCCCTGCCCTAGACGTATTTGGAGTAATCCCAACACGGAATTGTGGTGTTTGAACCACTTTAAAGTCCGCCTGGCAGGGTGGCGCAATGCAGCACCTACGTTATATTGAAGCTCTCCGGACTTCTCGGAGACCAAGCTATTATGCGCATTTAGCGCCCACTTGACTTTTTGCGGAAACGTTGAATCAAACTGATGAGCCGTGCAGAAATGTTGGGGTTTTGAATGAAAACTGCACTTATTCTCATTTTATGGTAGTTCACTCCACGACAGACCACACAGCTTGGGAGAACTTCCGATGTGACCGAAGCCATCGTGGGATCTCGATTTAGAAGCGTTTTTCGAGGCACCAGGCCGATTACCTCGGACAGAGAGGGTGAGCCGGCACCCGTTTGTTGCATCGGAGCTCCTCACGTGATGATGCCAGGTGTGTGTGTCTGCGTCCTGGCTCTGGAGCCCGGGGTCGCCCACCAGTCCCTGGCCTGCCGACTGGCCCGGGGTCACCCACCAGTCCCTGGCCCGCCGACTGGCCCGGGGTCACCCACCAGTCCCTGGCCCGCCGACTGGCCCGGGGTCACCCACCAGTCCCTGACCCGCCGACTGGCCCGGGGTCACCCACCAGTCCCTGACCCGCCGACTGGCCCGGGGTCACCCACCAGTCCCTGGTCCGGCGCCCGGCTCAGGGTCACCCACCAGTCCCTGACCCGCCGACTGGCCCGGGGTCACCCACCAGTCCCTGGTCCGGCGCCCGGCTCAGGGTCACCCACCAGTCCCTGGCCCGCCGACTGGCCCGGGGTCACCCACCAGTCCCTGGTCCGGCGCCCGGCTCAGGGTCACCCACCAGTCCCTGGCCCGCCGACTGGCCCGGGGTCACCCACCAGTCCCTGGTCCGGCGCCCGGCTCAGGGCCACCCACCAGTCCCTGACCCGCCGACTGGCCTTCTGCAGCGGTTCGGCTGCGCGCTGTACAAGGGCGACCAGATCAACCTGAAGCAGCGGGTGTACGAACGTGACTTCCGCCCAGTGGATGAGCACTGTCCGTGCAGCACGTGCGCCCGCTTCACGCGGGCTTACCTGCACTCGGTGGTGACGGTGGAGACGGCTGCCTGTCACCTGCTCACCGTGCATAACGTCACCTACCAGGTACCGGGCCCCAGTGGATCTAATGTGGTACCGGGCCTCAGTGGATCTAATGTGGTACCGGGCCTCAGTGGATCTAATGTGGTACCGGGCCTCAGTGGATCTAATGTGGTACCGGGCCTCAGTGGATCTAATGCGATAACCTGATGCGACTTACCGCATGCTACAGGGTGTTTCCATTACGAGCTGTTGCGTAAATAAACACTCATTTTGCTGTTCTTTGTGACGGATGCTTCGCTATAGCTACTACTATGTCTAACATGACGCATTTGCGACCCATGAGGGCATGATTATGTGTGGCCAGTATATTCAGTTGTAATCTCGTGTAACAAGCCTTCATTGAGGCCAGGCGTGAGTGGTCAGGTGGAGTACGGAGCTGGTGTCAAGAGTGCGATGTGCAGAAAGCGCAGGACGGTGGCTTTTCCACTGGATGTCAGCATGACTTGTGCGAAGAGCGCTGGCGGATCTTAGCATTTCGATTCAGTTCAATATTGTAGATTGTCGAGAGGATTCGTTTGAAAATTTGCGCATGCATGCCGTCCCCATCAACGCAAATGATTTGTAGCAGCACAGAGATCGGCCACCTGGCAAAAAGGACACCGTATGAATCAGGAGGCGCTCCATCGTGTGTGCATGTTGCATATTGTTGGTGGACCGATCCCTGTCCGTAGTTTTTTGTGATACACTTCTGGGGTGGGCGCCACTCACAAAGGGAAGCCAACTTTTACCTCCCGGCACGGTGGAGCATGCTTTACGAATCCATTTCTAGTCAGTTGTGTAACAGTGGCAACCGTTGCAGCTCCGGCTAATGAAAGCATTACGGGAAAGCATCAAAGAAGACAGGTTTCCTCAGTTCGTGCACGACTTCATGAAGGAGACGTACAAGGACGGGCTGTACCCGGAGTGGGCGGTCGAGGCCCTGGCATCTGTCAACATCCAATTATGACGTGATCATCGTGGCGTGGGCGGTCGAGGCCCTGGCATCTGTCAACATCCAATTATGACGTGATCATCGTGGCGTGGGCGGTCGAGGCCCTGGCATCTGTCAACATCCAATTATGACGTGATCATCGTGGCGTGGCACAAGCTGTGACTGTGATCTCGCTATTACATGGGACCAAAGACGTGACGCGTTTGCAAGAAATGAAAGTACGTCGTTCGCGCGCCATGTCGCGACATCTCGCGCCATGCACAACCATCGAACTACTTCATTGCGCCATATTTTTGTTCATTGGTGTTTTCGGGCGCGTCGACTGCAATGGTCATTTTGCGCCCATCACTGCGCCATCCACAGCCATCGACGTACTCCACCATCCGAACAAAAGCCACCGGCATCCGTTTGTGTATTCGCCGTGTCGTGATCCCCGTCGCGCAGCGCACAACGCCACCCAGGCCACTTGAGCGCCACTGCTCCGCCCGCTGTCTGGCCGGCGCGCCGCTCTCAGTCGCCGCCGATCGCCTGCTCTGCCACCGCCATCCGCTCGTCCTCGTCGCTCTCGAGCTCGTGGCGAGGCTCGAGCCGCCGCTCGGCAGCCACCGCCTCCTCGGCCTCCATCTCGTCGTCGTGCTCGTGCTGGACGGTGACGAGCGCCCGGCGCAGGCCCGCCGCCGGCGAGCGGATCAGCGCCAGGTCGCGCTGCACCTCTCGCCGCTCCTTGGCCCGCTCCATCGCCTCGCCCACCTTCTGCCGGTTGCGGATGTGCTGGTACTCGCGCCGCTGCCGGATCTCCTGCACGCGCTTCATCGCCTCCACTGCGGCACATGGGCAGAGGGACTTCACCGTCGGACGGCGCGAGCGCAGAGTGGATGTCCGCGACACGTGCTACTTTGAACGCTATGTGACGATTTGGAGGCCGCGTTACGAGATGGTCGCGCCTCTCCTGTCACAGTGAGCTGTCTGCTTTACGTGATCTGGGACACCGGACGGCTTTGCCAAGTGCATTGATATACGATGATTATATGATCAGTAGTTAGCTGGCATCAACACTCATTGGAAGTACGAAGACGTGGAAAATCAGTGTGACAGAAGAGACATGCAACCCTATGGCTCTACGGTTTAGTCTAGTATAGTCTACACCAAGACCTGGCTTCACATGCTTTCCTGATAAACTCAGTTAACTTTCAAATACGGAGCGGCGGCTGTACTCCGGATATACCATGCAATTTAAGTAGTTCGTGCAGCAAAAGGTTAGGCGGGTAGGACATTACCTGTTTTTGTCCACAGTTCTCTGTCATACTTGGTGGGTGCATTTCTCCTCTTCTCAAATTCAAATGAAGGATCTACTGCTAAGTCTTTCCCCCTGGACTTTCTGTATGCCTTTGTCCATGCAACCTTCCTCGGGTTCTTCTTTTTCTTAAAAGCTTTGTTACACTTTGACCTACAAAATTTGAATACCTAGAAAGAAAGCATACGTGGTTAAAATGGCATGTGCATGCATCATCAGCGGGCCAAGCTTCGTTTTGCATTTGTGAGTACCACACACAGACACACGCACACACACGCCCATGCGCGCGCACGCTTTGCCCCGCAAGACTTTGTCTATGTTTTTTGTGTCGGGGATCCTTAAGTACATCTTTCCCTGTTTGGTGCGCACATCTCTCCGCATCGCATTTCGTTGCGCATGCGATTATATCACCGCATTTCTTTCTCACCTCAGTGAAACAGCCCCGTAACCATGCCTTCCTGCGACGACGGTAGCGCAGCGACGGCGACTGGAGGAGTCTGAGCCACTAAGGATACTATGGGCATTTCCCCACTTCGTGGACAAGACGCGTAGCTCGTCTCTGAGCCCGATCCAGCCGTTCCTAGTCCAATTTTCTGAACAGGCCCTAGATGACACTGCCATATTCCAAGTACGGGTGTACTCAGATCTTGAAGAGCAGTGGCAGCGTAGGAACATCGATTTTGGCAAGCGACCGCCTCGCGACCGCCATCCAGCACCTGGATGACCTTCCGGATCGCCTCCGCCGTCTGCACGTGAAACTTGAAACTATGGTCCACAAAGATCCCGGGGTCTTTCTCTGTGGGCTCGACCGCGACTTCGACGCCGTTCAAGAAGTAGGTCAGTCTGGGGCTGTGGTTCCCGATATGCATTACTGTGCACCTTGTCGCATTAAAGGGGAGCAGCCACTCCTCCCACCACTTCGCTGCCTGGAGGGTTTCGAGTACTGTCGTGCTGGGGAAATGCTGGGAGGCATCAGCTGACATTGTGACGTCGCTGAAAATGGTTTTGCATCGATCGGGATCGGGTTCTCCTGGGCCGACTGAAGGCCGTAAGGTCTTTGCTAGTGATATGTCACTGGTATTCGGCTGGGTATGTGACGTCACTGGTCGTGAGTTTTTATGGCTCTTTTGGGTCCACTGAATGCCGTAAGGCAGCCGCTGGCGATGTGCCGTCACTGGTATTTGATTAAACATTAGGCGCGACCGGCGTCGTTCCATCTTTACTTTTCGTACCCGTCTGCTGCAAGCATTTGCGTGCCGCTTAAAGGTTTGACCGAATCACCTCAATGTGTGACATCACTAATCATCACTTCACACGAGTGCACTTAGGCCCCACGGCCACGCTGTGTTATGGTCCGCGAAGTATCACCGGATAGCGTGACGTCACTGGTATTCGAATAAATACTGGGCGCAACAGGCCGTGCTTCATTTTTACCTCTGAACCCGTCTACTGCAAGCATTGGCGTGCTGGATGAAAGCTGCCGAACCACCTGAGTGTGTGACGTCACTGGTCATGAGTTTCACCGGTGCTTTCGGGCCAACTGAAGGCCACAAGGTATCAGTTAACGACGTCACTGCTATACGACTGATTGTAAGACGTCAATGGTCGTGGGTTTCACGGGCCCTTTAGGACCGCCAAAATGCCGTAAGGCATCAGCTGGCGATATGACGTCACTGGTATTCCGCTGAACATCAGGCAACGGCCATGCTCCATCTATACATTTTGTACATGTCTACTGCAAGTATTGGCGGATTATTTTTGCGGCCAACTGAACACCATGCAGCATCAGCTAACGATGTGACGTCACTGGCATTCGACCGTGCGTGATGTCACTGGTCATGAGATTGGACGGCCTCTTTTGGGCCGGCGAAAGGTCAAGCGGCAATAACTGACGATGTGACGTCATTGGTATTCGAAAAAACTTCAGGCGCGACAGGCCATGTTCCACGTTTAACTTTGGTACCTGTCCATTGCAAGCATTGCCGTGCTGAAGGAAGGCTGTGCCGAATTACCTGAGTGTGTAACGTCACTGACCATTAATTTGCATACTCTTTTGAACCCACTATAGGCCACAAAACATCACCTGACGATATGATGTCACTAGGTTTCGACTGGACATCATGCGCAACAGGCCATGCTCTATCTTTACTTTTCGTGCCTGTGTGCTGCAAGCTTTCGAGTGCTACACCAAGACGATGCTGAATCAACTCAGTGTGTGACGTCACTGGTCATGAGTTTATACTGGTTCACTTGGGCCGCCCAAGACCACAAAGCATCATATCCCGTGGAGTATCATGGGAAGATATCACATCACTGGTATTCGGCTTAACATCACGCGCAACAGGTCATGTTCCATCTTTACCTTTGGTGCCTGTCTCTTGGAAGTATTGGCATGCTGAATGAAGGCTCTGTCGAATCTCCTGAGTGTGTAACGTCACTGGTCAAGAGCTTTTTACGGGATCTCTTGTACCCCCTATGCGGTATAATGCATCAGCTAGCGATATGACGTCACTGGCGTTCGACTTAACATCAGGCGCAACAGGTTCTTTGCTCCATCTTTGCCTTTCGTACCTGTAAAAGTATTCGCGATCTGAATGATGGCTCTGTCGAATCACCTGAGTGTGCGACGTCTTGGGTTTTTACAGGTTATTTTTGGCTGAGTGAAAGTCATAAAGCATCAGCTAACGATATGTCGTCACTGGTGGGCCACTGAGTGTGTGACGTCACTGGCCACGAGTTTTTACGGGCCTTTTTGGACCGACTTTACGCGATTAGTCATCAGAAAACAATATGACGTCAATGGTATTCAACTAAACATCAGATGTAATAAGCCATGTTTCGTCTGTACCTTTCGCACCTATCTACTGCGAGTATCCGCGCGACACATAGAGACTCTGTCGAATTACCTGAGCGTGTGGTGTAACTAGTTTACGCGGGTTTACTCGGGCTGACTGAAGGACATAAAGCATCAGCTGACGATATGACGTCACTGGTATTCGATTAAACTCCAGGCGCGACAGGCCATGTTCCATCTTTACCTTTCGTACCTGTTTATTGCCAGCATTGGCGTGCTGAAGGAGGGCTCTGGAATCTCCTGGGTGTGTAACGTCACCGGTCATGAGTTTTTTCTGGCTCTTTGGAACCCCCAATGGGGTATAAGACATCAGCTGACGATATGGCGCCACTGGTGTTTGACTTAACCTCAGGCGCGACAGGCCATGCTCCATCTTTACCTTTCGTACCTCGCTACTACAAGCATTCGCGTGCTATATGAAGGCTTTGCCGATTCACCTGAGTATGTGACGTCACTGATTATGAGTTAGCAGGTCACTTGGCCACCCTGGGCTACAAGGCATGATGTTCCGGAAGCATCACCGGATAATATGACGTCACGGGCATAATACCAAATATGCAGCACAACAGGCCATGATCTTTGCCTTTCGTACCTGTCTACCGCAGCATTCGCGTGCTATATTAAGGCGATGCCGAATCATCTCAGTGTGTGATGTCACTGGTCATGAGTCTGTGCGGATTCTCTTGGGTCGCCCAATGCCACAAAACATCATATCCCGTGAAGCATCACGGGATGATATGACGTCACTGGTATTCGACTTCACATCAACCGCAACAGGCCATGTTCCATCTTTACCTTTCGTAACTGTCTTTTACAAGTATTGGCGTGCTGAATGAAGGCTCTGTCGAGTCTCCTGAGTGTGTAACGTCACTGGTCAAGAGTTTTTACGGGCTCATTTCAAGCCCCTTTATGGCATAATGCATCAGCTGACGATATGACGTCACTGGTGTCCGAATTAACATCAAGCGCAACAGGCCATGTTCTAGCTTTACCCTTCGTACTGGTCTATTACAAGTATTGACGTGCTGATTGAAGGCTCTGTCGAGTCCCCTGAGTGTGGGTGAATACTCAGGTGAATCGGCACAGCGTTCATATAGCACGTGAATGCTTCCAGTAGCCAGGTACAAAAAGTAAAGATGGAACATGGCCTGTTGCG